TCAAACACGGTCAAATACGGTCAAACATTTTGATATTTTCTATTTCCCCTGCATTTTACCTGCCTCTATATTTTAGGTTGATGCATAATTATTGCGGATTTTTCCCAGCAAATTTTACTTAAAGAAACTATAGAAATACTAAGCAAAGACATGTTCAAATAATTAATCCGGAACTTATTCACCCGTCAAACACTGCTTCCCATTTATTGGTTAGTTGGAACCCAAAAGCGAAGACGTTTTGATCCTTACGGGCGATCCACGCTTTGACATAGGCCATCAATTCATCCAAATCGACGGAAGTCCTATTTCCTAGCCATCTTTTCGATGAATGGTCGATGTGATAATCCATAAAAGTTTCTGTTGGTGAATGTGGCAGATTTAGGGCAGGTACCATTTCTTGGTTGGTTCTGGCTGATTGTTCGATCGCTGGAAAATTACTGAGATCGCGGAATGATTGTGCCACCTCCCAATCTTTCTCGAAGAAGTTAAGCCTAATTTTGCGAATATGCGGATGGTTTTTTGGGTATATCCTTGTAGAGGAAATCAAGTAGACCATTTCTAGAAAAAACCCGAACTCAATATTCAAATTCTATCAAGAGGAAAAAAGCCGCGAAAAAATCCGCAATAATTATGCATCAACCTAATATTTTTGGAACTGTTTCTTGATAGAATTCTATCACGGCATATTTTACGCTTTTCTCTGATTGCATGTTTCAGGTCAATGATCTCTCACGTCTTGCTAAGGAATCGGACTCAGCAGCGTGTGGTCGTGTTGCTGCTGAGAAACAGGCGTATATGTCGCTACCTCGACCAGGGGTGAGCAGTACCGATTCGTCGTCATCTTTACCCCCCTTCAGAAGCTCGCGCGATTTGACTGTTCAAAGTTCCGGCTCGTCGTCATCGTTGTCGCGATTTCGGAATGTGCCGCTTCGTATTCTGAATCGCTCATTCGAAACGCAAACTGTGACACGGCTCATTTGCGATTCAGATGGTTCGACGTCAAGCGCCTCCATCGATAATCGCGAGAATCGTTGCGAGCCTGTCATTATCCCGTCGATACCCCCTTTGACGGCGATAATGTCGCAGGGTGGTGACGAGCTCAGCTCGGCCGCTTCGGCCACTAGTGAGGATCGTAAGGCGTTTGAGTATCGGATCAGTCTGATTTTAGACGATCTGCACAGGGTGCCACTGCATGATATTAGCGACTAAAGATGTGTGGTTTGCGGGTGCACTGGATTTACATAATCTGTATTGACTATTGCGTGCTGTGACTTGGGCCTAATCGATTTGGTTGCTGCATCCAAGGTTTTCAACGCTGCACTCTTTTGGTAAACCTGCTGTTGTTTTCGTATGAACTACAGATAATGTGCCCTTTACAATACTAACTGCAGGTGCCGATTGCATTTCTTCGTTGTGGAGCAGTTGCTTGTTTGCATGATGTAGTGGTCGTATGTGATGATAAATATATTTCGTTTTCGTGCATGGCTTTCTTTTCTAAAGTAATTAAACGGGTTTATTTTTTCAAATTATTTGTGTTATTTAGTCTGCTTTATTGAACCCTCGAGTTCGAAGCGAATTTTTGGCCTCTAGTTAAAATCATACACACTACATTCATTTTGTATTCTCTGACCCAATGATTGAGCTGAGCCCCAAAAAATGTTGTGGTTCCATTTGGATGTGATTTTTAAAGTGTAATAGTATTATTAGGGTGATGAGAGTACAGTGAACCTCTGAGGGTGGATGTCAATCGCGGCTGAGGTTTCGGAAACCTTATTCTCTTTTTTTTTTTGTAAGTCATCTTTTTGTGATATTTCATGGTGCCTTGGTACGGTTGCGTCGTTTTTTTTTTTTTTTTTTTTTTTTTTTTTTCGGGGAGCATCTGTTTGTAGAAGTTGCCTCCTTTCACAGCCGGTAACCTTCGTTTGACCCCGTCACTCTTGACTGTGACGTTCTTGTTTCTATGTGGTTCAAAAGAGTAGCATTCAAGTAGGAGGTGCCATTGGTTGTGTACTTCTGAGCTTCTCATAATATCGCTAAAATTGCCCCATCAATTAGATCTTGGTCAAATGCTACGCTTTTATGAACTTTTGATCTTGTGATGAACATCTCGCAGCCGCTTTAGTTTTTGGAGCTCGTGCGAAACATATTACGTGTAAACGCCTCATCATTCGCCAACTCCCTCACGTCATAGTTACTTCGGCTCCCTGCCGGTTTTCGTGCTTCAGGATATCTTGAAGATGGTCTTTGCCAGAGAGGAAACATCGCACAGATAGGTCAAACTATTCGATAGGTAGACTACACAGGCAAATGCTTAATAAATGACTGCACGCTGCATGACTCTCACGATCAGACGACAACGAAAAAGAATAGAGCGGAACGGGTAAAATTGAACCATGAGTTATCCCTGACGCTCTTCGCCAGTCTCAGAAAGAATACGCATGGGAAATACTTGAGCAGTGTCCGCGATTATGCTTCGTAGTTCACAAAATAGGAAACGTTCCCGTTGGATCTCTATTTCGGTCGCTCGGTCACTATTTACAGACCGTCGATTTTAGTGAAATGGTAGAACGAGCGTCAGAGCAATGTTGCAGTGTGGTGAAACTAAGAATATTCAATTAACTTCAATTGCAGAAACATGGCACAATGTCCAAGCCGTCGAAGCCGATTACGCTGGATATTGAGGTTATTGCAGACTTATTAAGTTGCCTTTGCTGACTTGCTTTCTCAATATTAGCAATGGATTCCAACTTTTCTCTTGTTTCACGCTCGGCGTTGTTGAAATTCTTCTGCCAATGGAGGTTTTCAGGTGGAACAAATTGAAATTAATATGTTTCGACGTAATCGTCATCTTCAGGGGCGCAATTTAGATTGTTAGAATATCCAACAGCGTTTAATACACCTAACAAAATAACGACTGTACTCATCGGAAAACCACGCCTTTCATGAAGTGCTCACCAGGCTCCACCGTCGAAGTGGATAGAAACCGCTGTCGCCACAGCGGTTGTCACTAGCAGACGTCCCCCTTCTTCAACTACCTTCTCTCTTGTTGCGACTGTTCATTCATAAATCGACAACGCTTGTCTCACTCGTAACACGTAGACGTTATGATAGAGCAGTCATAGATATATCTGTAGTGCATTCAAGGATGACGTTCTAATTCTTTTTTCAGTGTCCAGCAGTTGGTTTGTTGGTGTAAACTCTCTTAATACACAAATCAAAAAATCCAGTGACGTTAGTGTAAAGTGGTACCGTGAGGCTAGTTTGAAAATATCTCAACTCGCGCTACATCAGCTTTTACACAAGCCGTTAAACGTGCAGTCGTCAGCAACATGCTGAGAAATGCAACAAGTAGCTGTACGGGTGGAGTTGAGCTTCAAGAAACACGACATTTAGCTGCCAGATAGCTGCCGCGAATGGCTGGCTGGCGAATGGTACCACAACGCCGTGGAAGGCGGCGCACCAATAAACAATGTTCCGCGCCTTACGAAGTTACCACTTTGTCTTGCACTCATCTCGGATAAAGTCAGCTCTGCAATACAGCAGAGCATTTTCAGAGCTGGCCTGCAAACGTCCAATTGGTGAACATTCTCAACGGCAACATAAAGCAACAGATAGTTCGAAACTGGCTCAACGATAAGCAGTGCTTTACAAACGATTGTACTATTTGTTCCTACGGGGAACAGATGATTGTGCATTCATGGCGTGGTCATCCATCCAGAATGTCGATCATGTGAACCAAATTATATCGGTGAGACAGGACGACAACCTACTTCACGGATAAAAGAACATCTATCCAGCATCCTTTTGACAGCGCTCGGTCGACGAACAGTTGAGGAACACAACGACAATTTCGAAGTGAAGTGCACGATATTAGCACAGAAAGCGGAAATTTCAGCAAGGCATCAGACGTTCTGGTCTCTTGACATATTTACCGGTCTGCGATGTATGGCTGTGCTCAGAAGCATCATAATTTGATCTCCCTTATCATAAGTATAAGAGAGACATCAAGAGGTTTCACTCGCTGCTGACAGCCGCCCATGACGACAGAGGGTTCTTCCCTCTGTCGCCATAGGTGGCCGAGGTGGTGCCTGTTGAGTATTCCACAAAGTGGATAGTTCCCCCAGTATCAGTCGTTGTTATGCTGGAAGGGTCAAGCGCTTTTAGTTAACCATCGCAAATCGTATTTAGGCCTCTGAAGACGACGATTACGTCGAAACGTCAGGCCGTTAATTTATGAAAGGCACGGTTCACGATAAAAAAATTAAAGGCGTTCTTCCCCTAGGAATACGCAGGACACCCAAGGGTAATAGAAAGGACCCTCTCGTTCTCTGTTATTCTTCTTGCTGTTGCGATGCCTAATTTAATTTTCTACACCAAGAGGATGAAAAAGGTGGGCTATTTCTGCTGCTACTAGGGTTTTTTTCTTAGCTTTGCTTATGAGTGAATGAATTTTTGCTTATCGCAGTCAGTTTTTCGCAGCAGGACCCACATGTACGCAGTGAGACGCATTGTATAGCTCGTTCAAACGCCCATTTTTCTTCATTTATTTTCATTTCTCTCATTCTCGTCCAGCCCTCTTTTCAACGATTTTCAAAGCCTTTTCCACTTTGGGAACACCGATTCACGCAGTTTCTTCCGTTCGTCGCAATACTTTCTATCTTATCTTCCATTTTTCGTCATAATCTGGATTACCCAAAATTATCGTGAACTGTGCCTTTAAAGTCTTCCGCCTAAGAACCTCGATTGGCAGAAACTTGAGCAACGCAAATTCCAATGGAATTTTTTGCACAACAGTGAGGCCCATGTACAAGATTCGACGATTTTATGTGGATATAGAACTCTAATGATCTGATAAACATTAAATGTAGGCTTTCCAATGAGTACACTTTGGCTTACTGTTGAATCCAGGACCAGCAGAAAATGGCTAAAGTCGGATTGGAAATGAAGCTACTTACATCGGAGGTCGATGCCGAAGCAGAGAAATGGGACGAATATGCTGAAAACGACATTGTTAAGAGAGCGAAGGTAAAATTTCACAATAACTGGTGATGCGTTCTCTACACCCTTACAAACACTAATTGAGTGAAAGTACTTCAAAAAGCAAAATGCTCATTGCAGGCTATGTCCTCAATGGCTTACAACATGTACCTGTTCACCAGAGGCGATGGACCGTTGAAAACCACTCACGATCTGTTCACGCAAGCGGAGTTCTTTGCCGAACAAGCGAACAAAATGTACAAAACAGTTCGCGAGTTCAGCTATGAGGTGATTTTTTGTCTAATTCTGCTTAATCTCATTTCTATGATCCAGTGTTAGGTGGTATTTCATGCATATACGATGTAAAAACCAAAAAGCATGGTACAATATTTCGGAAAGCTATTGGTGACCAACTGAGCATAGTGACAGTATTGGTTCCATGGGTCGTGGAAATTACTGGTGATCAGATACTCTTTTGTTTTCAAAAATGTTTCTTTACAAATTTCTCAAATTGCGTTCAATCTTAAAGAAGCTCATTTCAAACTATGGAATCTATTCGTATCGTATGTGCGTTACCGACTATTCCAACTCTCTGTAGGACCGAAAGTTATTGTAGTTTCTATTGTGGACCTCGAGATTTCCTTAGAGCTTTCGAACACTTGAGCAAAGAAGTTTTTTTTTTTTTTTTTTGAAAACGTACGAAATGTGGGGTTCATTGGAGATGTCGTGGAAATGTTGCTCGAATGGAACTTTACCTCGCGGTCCAATGATCAATACAAAGTAATTGTTGAATTTGTACAGCGAACTTTGAAGATAATTTTTATGACTCAGTGCAGGCTCGTGATTTCATCGAGGCTCTTTTACCCCTCAACTTCATTCTACTCACTTTCGAAAATTAAATCTGGAAACCATTCAAAAATCCCTCGGAGGATAGTACATAATCTGCAAGTATGTTTGAAGAGCCCCTGTCGCAAGAATTCATCGTGGCGGTATCGACATTGACATAATTCTCGTGATAAAGGACTAAATCCCTTTTGCCCTCTAAATTATTCAATCACTTTTTTGGTTTACGCTTCTTAGGGAAGTGAACTTTGCAGAACGTTAGCTATGAATGGTTAACAGAGTCTAAAAACTCAGATATCGTCTAACCGACCTCACTTCTCTCTCTCACAAAACTCGTTCTCGAAACGGTACTTTCGAGAGTAACGAGTGATTCTTTCATATCTTATAAGAATTGCTCAGATGAAAACATGAAATAAACTTTGCTGGAATTAAGATGCTGCTGCCACCTAGCAAACTGTTGAAATGACAAATGGTGGGGCACAAGTTGCATAGGAACGCTGTACTTTTTTAGGTCCCTGGATCAGCTGAAAAGAGTGAACTGTCGGCTATTCTTGAACGAATACCGGTTCATTGCCAACAACTACAGGTTCTAGTTAAAAGCCCGACAGTCGGCAAGTCGGCCACATTCGGAAAGGTCTGGCATGTTTGCAGTTGTTTTCAATGCAATATTTCAAGTTATATGAATTATTTTTTGATTCAGGTGGATTCGGTGATTCAAGAAACTAAAAATCTAATGAATGAAATTGCAAAGCTCGTCACGTCGTCGTTTGTTTGCGCCACAAAGGTACTGGTCACAGTTTTTACGAAAAGAGAATTGCTTTCGATGCATGGTTCGTTTTTCGTGAACATACTAGATAACAATAACGGAAGGAATTTCAGTTCAATAAGGTGAAGAAGTGAGTTGATGGTACATTTCTATTTTCTATTCATGCTTCTGATGTTTTGGCTATTAGTGAGTTGCTGGGTGTTCGCTTTAGTTGTTTTGGAAGATTGCATTTGCCAATCTATGGAAATGTGTGTCACTGCAAAATTTTGTGTCATCATTGTCACCGCGAATTGCTAGATAAGGGTTTCGAGGAGCTTCAGAGACTGAGAATTCCATCGAAAGGGTATTCGCCACTATTAAGCTCGATATGATGTTTGGCTTGAAAAATTTCCCCTTCAATTTCTCTATCTCTGGATATCTCAAAATTTTGTTGTTCATTCAGTAGCTCCTTGCTATTGAAATTTCAGGGTATCAGAACAAACTCTTTCTTACTTGTTACTTGAGGTGTACATTATTTCTTTCTGGAAGCCTATTCAAGGTGAAACCAGGTCCATTTCCTGAAGAGGTTGTGTAGTGGAAGTACCGCACTTCACACGTGCATGGTCATGGGTTCAAATCCTGGATCGATATCCGCCGAGGCCAACCGAGCCGCCATCCCTCCGGGAGTTGGTAAATTGGTACCAGACTCGTCCGGGAGATGGAAGCACTGGCTTGTACATCGGCTGGCCACCACAAGTCATTGTATAGGCCACATGTGCACTCATTACGCCGCTGCGATTCTGAATGGGAGTCGAGAGCAGGGCATCCCTTAGACGGGACGCCAAAAACTTTAAAAACTTTATGCCTGGACTTTGCTCAGTTGCTGAGTCTCAGTTCAGCTTTTCCATCAAAAGTGAACCTAAGACAACATTTGTTCTCATCCCTCTGCTTGCTCCAGACTCTACTGCTCCCCCTCTTTAACCCCTCCATTTCTGTATAAAAGTCTGAAGAACCTACTTATTAATAAGAGTACGTCACATTCGAAGACACAGATCATTTTTCATACTCCACCCTTGAATTTAGGCTCGAATTCTTCTTCCTCCTATACTAAACAATAGGAAAAATTCTTGTCATGTTCGTGCAGGGTTTCCACTTCTTTTATTCATTGTGGGTTAACCGAAGTTAATGAGAATCACACGACTCTGCTCATATGTACATCGTTGCTAATCAGCTCGTGTAGTTGCCGCGTATTTCGGAACAGTAGTTTTCAAACGCCGAATATTAAACACTGTGAACAATTTTTACAGTACGAAATCGAGTTCCGCGGCGGGTCGGTTTCAAGGACAGTTGGAGATGGCGATGCCCGTGCCTCGAGGGAATCAACGCTTTGGAGACGGACGCCGAGTATACGACGAACAGCGCCACCTCCGGGCACTTACCAACACCACTAGGTCAGTTTAAATGAGAGTTTTGGTTTTTTGCTCCGTTGTATTTTACTCATGTTTTTCATTAGAGTTTTTCTACACAGAATCATAAAATTATAATAATACGCAGTTACAACATGGTTTTCAGAGAGTTTATTGAATGATTATGATGAGACAGGACAGCATGGAGATGGCGATGTTATGGTTTTCGTTGTTTGAAGAATGCTCGTCACTTACCATTAGACGTGTGTTACTTCTCATTTCTTTACAACTGTGACTAGACTTCGATGTCTGCCTATGCTTCCATCGTAGCTATTTACGGAGTGTGCCGTGCATTGAAATGACCTGACCATCTGTTTGTTCTTACAGCTATAAAGACCTATTCATAGAATGACCGCGATTGGAAGTTCACCTGAACCGGTGTCCGGCATTTGTTAGGAGATCCTAATTTTTGGAGTAGAGGGTCATTGTGAGCCACCACTTGAGGAAGGAACTAGTTGGACAAGATCCAGGCTGAAAATCGCAGATCAGCCTCTAATCGAATTGCATAAGGGTGCGAGTGAAGGGAAACACATCGAGCCTGGAATTCAGAAAGATCGTGTTCAGGAGGTGAATTACACGCTACGCCTGACGACTCTGAGTCTAATATGCTGTCCATTTAGTTGGTGGCTTGGGAATTCTTGATGGACTTATTCTGCAAAGAGCTAATGGGTTTCGTGGGATTCTGTACCGTCGGAAACCACTCATTCGCTTACCCTCCATTCCGTTCCTGTTTCTAGTAAATATGAATGGTGAACCCGGTTCAATACGGTCTGTCTTCGTCCAATGCATTGCGTTAATGGATGCAAGAATAATGGAACGTGGTTGGCCATTGAGTACGTAAACCTGAGACATGTTGCTTCAATTTCGATCATCGACCCAGTAGAGGCTGCTATTGGACAAAGCGCATTCAGGCTTTGCGCCAGGCGATGCGTATTATCATCGTGCATCTTCTGCCATGCGCGACACGACACGCTGCTTTCAATCATTGCCCCACAATTTCCTACTACATCCTAGAACATAACGTTATTAGCTCTATGTTAACAATCATTCTTATCCTGCTTCGTTCTTTTTATATATCACTTGGCTGGAGCTGTCACTCTGTATTTTGCTTTCCATCGAGACGACCTTGCTTACCATAGAACGAGGAATGTTACTTTTTGATTCTCAAATTTCAAGCCTCTTTCATAGAGTGGATTCTAGCTGAGTACTCACAACTCAAGTCTGAGACAAAGCGTGAAATGATAATTTTTAGGTGCCCGGTTCTTGGGGACAGTGAAAGCTACAGCCTAGAATAGTGAAAAATAACGAAAAAGGACGGCGTAAAAAGGAGTACAAGAACACAAAAAACTAGTAACATGGGGGAAGAAGGAGGTGGACGCTTGGGCGAGTTGACGCTATGCTCTGCGTCTCTGACACCAGACGGCAAGAGAGCATAGAGGCCGCGCTAGAGTGCAAAGATCGTTTGATGTCCAGCTTTTTGCATGAGATAATCATCTCACCCACCCCAGATCTCCTTCCCAAACGCAGTCTCTATGCACTCGGCGGTCTGGTGTCGGAGATGCGAAGCACAGAACGCGTTGGGACCCCCTCGTCTGACGTGACATCGGTCGAGTGGAGGAGAATCCGGGCGGTCTGGTAACGGGGCACCCACTGCCCCCTAGTCGTTGAGTTTTTGGACTCTACAGTGTCCTTGAAATTCGTGGAGTCATAGCACGCGCAGCGAATAGTTGTGGGATGCTGATCAACCGCGCACGATCACGTTGCACGTGTCAGGCGACGCGTGACGCACCCCGCCAAGTCTGCATGCAACCATTGACTGAAAAGTTAGACCCATATGCTCAATCATTAATATTATTCTTATTTTCATTCTTATTCTTCTTATTATTATTCTTATCTTTATTATTACATTACTTTTCTGCAGAATTTCTGAATTAGCTTTATGTACTGTGTTTATGTTCTGTGCTTTCCTTTTTGTTGTAGCTACCGTTCCATAAAAACGCGTTTTTTTAGGATGTGTACGAAACGCAGAAGAGCTTACCTTTACTCAGGATTGTTGTGGTCCTCGCCTCCTTTATTCTGCCGCAGTAGCTACGCCTTTACAATGAGCTGTTTTTACTATTTCAATTGTTTTTAGACCGCTGTGTTAATCAGGAAACATTTAAATATTAGACCACGACACCACGTTTAGTCAATTTCTTTTTATGGTGGGTATGGGTGCGTCATATGTTGTAGATTCATTGAGAACGAGAAACAGACGATTTGTTGGCAGGCAACTGTTCTGGCTTAAGTTTAACCTTATTGCTAGATTTTCTGCAAGAAATATGTGTAGGCAAGCAAGGGCTGTATATGAAAGAAATCGAAATTATGTCCGCGTTCGGACATAACGTCTTAAATGCTCACCTCGGAATCCACCATTAAGATAAATATAGTTCTGTTCGCAGAAAGTAGGACACTGGCAGATGATACATAGTTCTTTACAGATACATAGTTCACATTACCGAATGCTATATTTTCCTTCTCAAGGAACTTGAAATATTGCCGTGAAACGAGTACTTGAAATTTTTTTGTTCAAAGTTGTTCAATCTGATTTAGTGTTCTCAGATTGCTATCTTTGATCTCCGTTCGACTTCTGATTGGATGCAACTATTGTTGACGTATCACTGTTCTGGTTTAAGTTTAGCCTTATTGCTAGATTTTCTGCAAGAAATATGTGTGCAATGTAGTAATGTGTAATTTGAATATGTTTTTAGACACTTAGTAAATTTTCGACAACCCTCACGTCCCAAAATTCTTGACTTTCCTCGTCATTCGCGTTGTATATTTCATTGTTTTTTCTATGAATTACTTTCACGAACGTTTTTGGTTTCCTTAGATTTTACCCCTTTGTCTTGAAGGGGGAAAGCACACACACATATTTGCAAATACCGAATTTGGAAAAATGTTTCCTGCAATAAGATATCATTTTGTCACTATGACGTTCATCGAGTGTTTCATGCGGACTGCTTCTTCATTCGCCGTCTTTGCTAGGGGCGTGTGTACAGGGTGGCTGAAAAGTATAGGACGCGCCGTTTGACGCTTGCTGGCACCCTGCAAATGGGTATTTTCAGAATCTTGTGGGACTTTCAGAAAGCTTGGGATCTGTACAAAAATCCATATAAGTCATTCGATTGACTGTACGGAATGTTGCCGCTGCTTTCAAGAATCGAGGACGAGCCTCTGCGATGCCAAAAAGGGGACGACCGAGAACAGTGAACATACCGAGGATTCGTGACACCACCAGGAAGTCACCCGCAACCATGGACTCAACATGTATCGGATTGTTTCTGACCTCAACGTCAGCCGCCAAACCATCCAGAAAACTGCGAAACGCGNCCTCAAGCTGAACAATAATCGGCTCCGTCGAGGATAGTTTCTTTCAGAGCAGTCCGAGCAAGTCGACTGATAAAATGCAAAAAACTTTTTCGAGAGCTCAGTGCGCGCCGCATCTCTGACGTGACCTGGACCGATGGGAAAATTTTAACCGCAGAACACTATCCAATCAGTCAAAACCAGAGAAAGTTGTTGTCAAAAGCTGACACCAGGTCCCCAAAAAGTTGTCTTGTGCACAGCAGGCTATCTTCCAAAAGTGTTATGGTCTCCTCATGGACTGGGCCTCCTGTTATGGTCTCCTCAAGACTGGGCCTCTCCTCATGCCTCGAAGTCGACGAAAGCCGTACTGGACGCGCACTTCCCCGGTTACTGAGGTAAAGACATCTGATATTCCTCTCCGCCACATTTCAATTCAATGGTCTTCTCTGTATGGGGCTACTTGGAGAGCGAAATCGCAGGACGCTCCTACCGCACGTTTGGCGCTCAGAAGTTGGCGCTTCAGAAGGCGTAGGACGATGTCGACTCCGACTACCTGCGACGTACAGTCGACTCAGTCATCGAGAATCTGAAGGTCTGTGTAAGAGCAAAAGGATCGAACTTTGAACACCTGTTGTCCTAAGTGATCTTGTAGTTCCACTCTATTCCTCATTAAGATTATTTGTCTCTCTGGTCTCTATCTTTGAAGTTACGCCTACAAATGTGGCGTCCTATACTTTTCAGCCACCCTGTACATTCGTGCGATCCGATCTGTGCGCGGCAAATTGCGCCGCAAAATTCTTAGCTATTCTGACGTCTTCAGCGCCTAATATTGGGGCCCAAGTTTGAAGTAGAGTAGATTAGTAGGATCGGCTGGCCATACTAATCTACTCTACTTCAAGTTTGTATCCCAACGAGGCGCGAAAATCGTTCGAATCGCCACGGTTTTCACCGCGCAATTTCTCGCGCGCAGCTTGAACCAAACGAATGTATGGTCCCCTCGCTGGCAAAGGTGTTACTTGCTGATGAATGCTACAGAGGCATCAGGTAGCATCCTCCGCAACCCGTGTGCTGCTGCGGGGTGATTTTGGTTATGTGACCATGCACCACGTGACCTCCCTAGCTGCCCCATCATCCGCCCTGTGTCCTTGCCCAAAGCCCCTTTTCCATGCGTCGTATATGTGGCGGGTGAACATTTGAGCATCCAAATAAAAAATGAAATATATTGTCTACAGAAATTCTGCAGAATTCGGAGAATGCTCTTTGATGCCTTCGCTCTGTACCGTCTCTTCTATTTGTTTCTACACACGCCAGCGGCCCGCAGTTCCAGTACTTGCTGTACCCACCACCCGTGACCTTGTCCAAAACCTTTGTCGTTGTGCCTTCGGATGGGTTGGAGACGTTTGTGACACGAGTGGTGGAGTTGGCAGGAACGAAAACACGGTACGGATACTCGGCTCTTAGGGTGGCTTTACGGTGGAATAAAATGCAATGGACGCACAGTTTCGCAGGCAACACAGTTGTCGGCATAACTCAGGTTTGAAAACACAAATCCTCGCCCTCACATATACGACGTGTCGAAAAGAGACATGCAAGGATAGAGGTGGTTGTTCAAGGGGTATGGGCACATACGGCGCCCGAGGATGCGCGTGACTAAGTTCGTGGCGATTCGGACGATTTTGGCGCCTATTATTGCGCATAAACTTGAAGAAGAGTAGTTTAGTAGGGTCAGCCGATCCTACTGATCTACTCCACTTCAAGTTTGGGCCCCAATAATAGGCGCCAAAGTCATGCAAACCGCCACGAACTTCGTCGCGCAATTTGCCGCGCGCATCCCAGGACGCATATAAGTTCCTCCCCCTCGATCATTGAGCCTAAGGGTTAGCCTTACACCACAATCAATCGTACGAGTCGGATCGGATTACTGTAATGTGAAGTGCCCGCACAGGATTACCGTTTCTGTGGTGTGGTAGGTACCCACTGATGCTGTTGGTACGCAATAGCAGGTTTCTATGTGAGTAGAAGTTAATGCGACCGTTGTCTAACGTTGCCTTGACTATTAGGGTATGTACATTCGCGCCATTCGAACTGTGCGCGGCAAATTGCGCGGCGAAATTCATAGCGATTTTAGCGCCTATTATTGAGGTCCAAATTGGGAGTAGATAAGTGGAATCAGCTGACCCTACTTAACTACTCTACTCCAAGTTTGTGCCTTGATAATACCTCAATAGCCACAGTCGTGCAATCGCCACGAATTTCGTCAATTTGCCGTGCGCAGTTCCAACCGCGCTAGTGGGATCCGGTATCTTCTCCCGAAAACGGCGTCGTGTTCGCCGCACCTGATCGCGCGCTTTGGAGGGAATGGTTTAATTCCCAGTGCAAGGATAGGGTTTCCGCGTGACCTTTCTCGCTTGCCGTGGGAGTTCGGGAAGAAAATCCGGCCGTGCATCTTGCGTTATGTGAGGGTTGAACATGCTTAAGGTGCATGTCTGTCCAGCCCGTAATTTTCGGGTAAAAAATCTGAATGCTGGTTAGAAGTGAAGTTTGAAATGAACTCGCAGAACTTGCATAGTGTTGAGGGCAAGGGGTGTCCGTCTAGTTACATTGTCACCGCGGGCATAAATAGTAATCGAATGGTAGCTGAATCTTCTCGGGTTTTGGTAGAAATCTCATATCCGGCGTTAGAATGAATCATAAAAAACGCGGATAGTTCGGGAAGAAATTCCGGCACCCGCACAAAGTCAGAAACCATTGCAGGTGTAATGGTTACTTCTGCGAACGATTCAGTTTCTCTGATTAGCGTCCATTTTGCCTTGTTGCTTTTCCGATGCAGAAAAAGTGTACACTTCACCTCACTCGCTTACGGTGAGACCAGTTCTACGCTCGGAAAAGAGCGCCAGATGCCAACACATTACTGATGTATAAAAACGCTACTTAATTGTAAGTAATAAACTTGTCAGTGAAGATAGGATGCCACTGCAGCTTTCTTCGGATCATCAGCTACTTTTTAGTGAGAGATGTAGGAAATAAAATATTGTTCGCGGGTCATAGACGTTGGAAGGTTTTCGTAATGCTTCATGTGTATTTTAATTGTGATAATTTTGATAAAAATTCGATATCACAACAATGCTGCGGCAGATTTCAAAGAATTGGCAGTCAGAATGGGTAATAATAACCAAAAAATACAAGTGAATATAAGCGAAACCCGTCGCAATTGTGTTCCCTAGTATAATTTGTGAGCTATAATGTAAGGAACAGAAATTATAAATAGTCAGGGATGCGACCATTCCGTCAGCGTTGATTTTACAGTCGGAACTATACAGAATCAGCTATATTTCTACTGTACGAAAACTGTTTAGAGCAGATTGGCGATGGCCGGCACTTCATCGTCGATCTTCGCCCACCTTCGCTGTCGTTGCTGAGGGAATTCGCTTCGGAGTATGCGGAGACGACGAGCCACCTTCAAAATTGAATTGATCCTGCTCAGCCCTTTTCATGATCGATTCGAGAAAATTTTCAGCTTCAACTCTCAGAGACAGACATTTCAGGCGACGACTTCCATGTTAACTCAAAAAGTTCGATACGTGCTCGAAAACAATGAATGGCCTCGGTCCCTTTTAACATCACACCCTTCCCTCACTGAAAATCGGTCACTGATGTCCTGGCAGTAACGAGCAAGCGCAGACGTTGCTGCCTCTTATACACTGAGCTTCAGGGACTTGAATCATCTACCAACATCGAAAAATTTTTTTCTGTCAGGAAGGATATGAGGAGATGAAAATGGGTGTGTTGCGTGTTCACATGTTTTGACATCGTTGATCAAACAGCAGGAAGGGGGTCGTGGACCAATCGATCAGTTATATCCACTTATACTCCGACCGGTAACCACCGCTATGGCCAAGGTGAGTGTTGTTTTTTTGACATTATATTTGTTTTTACTAACTTTCCACTTCTGTCATCGAGAAAGCTCCAGACTCAGTGACCTCACTTTCTACAACGCTTATCAATCCTTACCATTTGTTGTTTGTACCTGTCAGTAGGATTCTGTCACACACTATGTTATTCACCGAAGGGCAAGGTCCCGCTGGTAATTAGAGGAGCGTTACAGGCCCAGTGACCCTTGTCAACTTTCCACTTTCAACCCAAGGAGCGCAACGGACTCAGCGGCTCGTTCTTCCCATTATGGCTCGCTCGCTATTAACCACGATCAGTTGTTATCAACTCCTGCCACCAGATATGATGATGATTAAGGATGGTTTTGATCCGGTTTCCTTCCCACACAATACGTATTGTAGCGTTGCCTCTCAGCACTACAGTTCTCTCTCCCTTGAATCTCTGAAACACGTACCACTATGGTCTGACCCATACATATGTAATAACATAGTAAGAGGGGTATAGAATGTAGGAATAAGTAATTTTTGAAAACTATCCTGATTTGTTGTGTTAGAAATGCGGGATATGAATAGATACGATTCAGGATATTCTACGTGATCGGAAGTTACCTCCATGAAGTTCTCGGCACGATTCAGTGCTTCCACCACTGAATCATTCGGTGGTGCAGCTCCTGGCGCTCCAATCTCTTGCACTGACGACATGGGCATCGGCGATGGTGACGACGGTGGCGGTGTCAATGTCGGCGTCAAGCCATCTAAGTTGAAGTCAATCTTATGAGCAAGTGAATCCTGTTGTGAGTATTTGTTTCTCCCTTGATAAATAAAAACAAAAGAGAAATGTCGTCACTGGGTCTAAGTGTCACGTTACCTTCGATGAGATTCGCGTTTAATTCTTCCTTTGGGATAACATTCCGAAGTGGCACGTCCTGCAGCGATGTTAAAGGGAATGGTGTCGAGTTTGTTGTAGTCTTTAAATAATTAATAATTAAATTTGCTTGGAAATCTGATACAAGGCTTTTTTGTCTCTGAAAAAATCAATCAGTCGTATCACCTCTTGTGTGGCATCGTTCTCAATGGAATCAAACGTAGAATTGGGAATTGCAGTGGAAGTAGTCAAGTCATCAGACATAGTGATCGTAGTGATAGTGGTGAAAGCCGTCGTGGAGTGTCCCTCTGCGATGTCTGCTGAGCCTTCCATCACTTCGCTCATCGAAGAGGGCCTAGAAGGCGGAATGATTGTAGGCCTTCTATCAAATTCTGTAGGGTCGATATCGAACGCATCTTCGTTGGACGTCGAGTGATCCACAAGGTTTCTTCGAACCGATGTCTCCTTGACGACTTCCGTCTCCGACTCGACAGTTTTCGTCGCAATCGCTGGCATCTCGTCCGAGCTATTAGTTCTGAGTAAGGAATCAGAAGTTGTAACAGGGGAAGGTAGTTCTGCAGCAGTGCTTGAAGAAGGAGTGAAATCGGGAGAATTCATTTGAGCGGCAGCACTTGCTTCATTTTCCGAAGAAGGTACAGTGGTTGTTGTCGCTTCCGTGAAAGTGACTGTAGGTGTAGGCAAAGAAGAAGAGACAAGCGATAGATGTGAAAGAGTGGTACTGCTCTGTTTGTGAAGGGCACGATTGAGGTTGAACTCCCGCTGATTCTGTGCGCGATTGAGAAGGCTGGTTACTCGTCGTCTGGAAGAGCTGAAAAGTGGTATTGTTGGGCTAGATGTCGATGGAAGAGGCCGGGATGCAACTGCGCTTGGGCTCTTCACTATTATAGGTTCCACGATCTGTATGACTTCACGATGAACGTTATTGAGAGATTTTGTAGTGAGTTTTGGGGTACTCTTGGTTGAGATTATTGGTGGTCTCGTTAAGGGCGTTACATGTCGATTCGTAGGCCGTGTTGTAGCCGTAACCAGTGTAGACGGCGATACTTCTTTTCTTAAGGACACTGGTTTTTTCGAAGCGCCACCGGAATTGCTGCTATGAGTGGACAATCGATGGGAAGGTGGTCGATGAATTCGACCATTTTTCCTCGACGATGCTGTGGATGACTCTGCAAAATGGAATAATTATCAGAGACAAATCGATATCATGTTGTATAAGCTCACCTATGATCGCTTGCAGTACCGCTTTTTCCACATCGCTATCTGAGATTAGATCGGCTGACGTCGCTGAATTGACTCGAATTAGACTTTGCCACAGAATTTCCCTCAAATGGAGCCTCTGAGGGCTTTGTTCTGTTGTACTAAAGGAGATGTCTCCTAGTGGATCTGAAGCTTTTACCAAACAAAACTTGTAGGATCCACAAAGTAATCTATCCATCTGGTAATCATGCGGTAATCTAAGATCCGCTTCTCTCCTCGAAATTTTCGTCTCCTTTTCCCATTCTTCTGGGCTCTACTTTATGACATATGATGAAAAATATGAGTAAGGCATCTTTCCAGGAGAAAAAGTAGACATTAATACGCAGCAGGCATTCTTAGAGGCACAATTCACGATAATTTTGAGGTACCCATTTAAGTTGAAAACAGGAAGTGTTGATGTAGATTAGTGCATCGTGGCCAAGAAAGTGAGAGAATCCACCTGCTTCGCAAAAAATTAGCTTTTTAAAAGTAGTGGCAATAGAGGTGGTACGACATGTACCATGACGGAAAGGCATGGAAGGGGTATTCGGACGGGATTTCACTTGTTACAATTCCGCAAAGAGCTGGCTACATCAAATCGAAATTGTCTATAACTGCCATCCACTGTCGCCATAGGTCATGACAAGTTTTTGTAAACTTCCAACATGAAAGTCTCTTGGGATAGTTCAGTCTCTACAACATCGTTGAGACTCGTCCGCTGTGGGTGTGGCGTTCATAAGATACTATGTCTTCTTCTTCTCACTAGCATCAATCCCGCGCCGTCGCAGGGTCCGCTGTCATAAGATGCTATGTATGGCCCTTTATTGTGCTCTATCAAGGACGTTTCTTGACCTTATATTAGCACATATGGTATCAGGAGGGGCCTCGAATTCATCTCATGGGCGAATCTCAGGAACTATCTTTTTCGTGAACTATGCCTTTAAGTTCACGCAGAAAACGCTAGGCCCTTTTATTCGTTTTCTTTTGTTATAGGTCGGTTCAGAAACAAGTTTTCTGAAATTGGATGGAGTATTGAATATACCTCATCAAGCTTTGTAAGAAAGTACATTGCAAATTTGGAAAAGCTTTACTGTGGAATAGCTAAATATCGGGACATGTCTTCAATCCTGTATGGTAATTCTCCATGTCAGGATGTGGAGATGGAATTGATAACCTCCGCCCCCTCAGGATTGCAGTTCCTGCTCTACAGGAATTTCGTGACTGTCTTTATTACAAGTGAGAACTTCTCCTGTTGTGTGGCTCTGATAATATTTGCGCGGCATACACTGGTAATGAACACCTTTCAGTTTGATTCCAGATCAGCTGCGTGCAGTTCACCATTTCACGTTATCGGTGCACGGTATGGGGCAACGACCAACTCAAGCACTGAATCCCCACCCACTTCGTACCATATCGGACACTGATCACGTGAGTTGCATTCTGCTGTTCAATACTTGCGAGATCGACCAAGAACATAAGTGTGGTAAAGGAAACAAAACCAAGTTTTCATTGAGGGGTAGTCTTCCTATCACTGAACAGTATTTACTCTTAGGAAATGACTGGCTTCCATTGCAGCTGTACACTTTGATCACTTACTTTTCTAAGTAACTAAAGGTGAGCAAAGTTCATAAGGATATGCAGGGTACTGATATGTAGGGCCACACAACATAAAAAGGGCTCACCTGTGAACAAGTTAACCACAAATTCCCCATACGCTTTCATTTTGAATCTAGGTCTTGAAGTTAAGCTCTTGGTGGTAGAGCTCTCCCAGATTTTTGAATTAGCTTCTTGTGGGCTTCCATAAGCTGTTCAGTTCTACATCCAAACAGAAAGGCTCCGGCCTACAACCCACTTGTAGAAAAGGGAATGAGCAAACGTGAATTCGCGTTTTTCGAGTGTAAGGTTTTTTGGAGCGCGTACTGAGCGTTTTAATGCGGATGGGAGGCTCACAGCATTTAACGGCTTTGCTGAAATCTGTAGTTCTCATATAGAGTAGTAGACAATGAGTTGCCAACTTATTACATGTAGGAAAGTTTCCGTTAGTGGTATAGTTTAGTTGGATTACTGCCCAAGAACTTATTGGTCTTTTATCGCTTGAATTAATTCATTCTGGTTATGAAACTTCATTGTGTTGATCATCATTCGCCAATGTAACTTACCAGCTTCGCCTCTGATAACATCCCTATTCATCGCTGACACTCGAGATGGTGCTCTAAACACTTTCTGGTTATTAAGAATTACGGAATCTGCTGTACATTAATTAGTGATGTTATAAGTTCAAATCCTGGTGTTATGAGCAAGTCGTTAGAAAAAATTAAACGAAGGCCACACTTGCGAATGTAATCGTGCAGAAATCGAAACGTGTCAGTGGCAAAGCGAGCTTTTGTATGTTGAAATCCTACTTCAACTCTGATTATTTCAAAGGTTTCGAAATCAACATATTTCTTCGCTAGTGCAGCCGTCTGAAATGAAATGTTAAATAGCAAATGAATTCGCAAAATGTTAAATGAAAAGTGTTAGTAACCTGAGATCTGTTAAATGCTTATTAGTAGGCCGACGGAGTCGAACTCGAGCTCGATGTCTAGCCCACTGCCGAGGTGGTTCCACCGGCGGTAACGGTACAGTCCTTTGTCGCACAGTGCTCTCCAGGACGTCTTTGTGAGGTGTTGATCTGTTCAGATTGCTGGTGGTAAATAGAGTTGGCTTGCGAATGTGATCCGCTTGTGATAGTGGAACACGGATGACTTGTGCCCGTCGAATTTCTAAGGGTCGTTGGCGGAGTCGAATTTCCTCGAAACGTGATTGGACAGTTTGTAAACGCGGAGGTGAGCGAGGTGCTGGGAGCTGACGACGGACGGCAAGTGGAGAGCGAGCAAGCAGAGTGGTAGATGCCTGACCAACAGGTACAGCAGCCGACCTTTCCGCTTTCGCTTGGACTTTATGGCTGATCTGTTTCGGAACACGGCGGTGTGGAGTCCGCTCTGAGTCAGTCCAGCCATCGTTGCTGTTGGCGATGCCATCTCTGGAAATGCTTTTCAAATGTTACAGTAGCGTGCCAGATAGGTAATAATGTTTCACTAAAGCAAACCTTTATGAATGAAATTTCTAGGTTCCTACGAAAATTATGTGTGCACCTAGGCTAATTCAGAATTCAGCGCCAATACCCTCACCGATTATTGTTGTTTCTTTTCCCAATTATTCTGTCATCGTGCTTTTTCGCGGTGAAGCTGTTTCAAAAAAAGCAAGTCCCGAATGAAGACTCTTCGCTCGATCGTTCGATCGTTTTGCCATATGAATAGCCAGCAACGTCAAGAGATGATTAGCCTTAATCTCTTGCCATTCCTGAGAAATGTGCTACGCAGGACGGATGTTTTCCAGCGAGACAGTGCTGCGTTCAATATCTTGCATTCTAGTAAAGAATGGCTCAGAAGTCCTAAGAAAAACTTATGGGGGTTCTTAGTTCTACGTGTAGACCTCAACAAATGGTAGCGCAGCATCGGTGATCTGAAGACCGCGGTTGTCTCTTGGAAAGAAACTAGTGGAGCAAATATCTTCTACCGTGTGAAGCATGCCAAATATAATAAAATGTCGAAAGTAATCAGAGCGATTGATTTTTGATTTCATCTATATTTCTGATTTTTGTATATGCCGACATACTTTTGGTATAGAGAAAGTTTTAAGTTTTATACCGATCAAAAAATACAAGCTGTCTATCAACTGTTGAAGGTCACATTCGAAACTTTGTATTTCTTTCATCATCAGAATTTTAATATATTCACATTCTTTTGGTACGCACTGAATAGCTGACCACATACACAAGGGATTGATGCTACTCCTGACTAGGTATTTCAATGAAAAAGCGACCAGAAGCTGACTATATCGTGTAACAGTAAAAAACGATTTTTGTTGTACCTATAGTTAGCCGATAAAATGTTAGGTCGACCCTCCATGCATTCCCTGCCTATCTCGTGCTAGGTATATCTTTCAAGTTTTGATGGGAATGGCTGGAAAATTGCAAAAACTAGGCATGATGTTTTTTATCTTATTAGATCTCGCAGTGATAATACTAACGTGAACCAAAGGGATGGGTTGCTATCTCCGACAGGCTCTTCAAATGAATTAGCTTAGAAATTGAAGGGTAGGATTGCAGAAGCTGGCGAACTTCCCAAATAAATCAAATGAGTTATATGATGCGGATTATATGATGTGAAGCGCTCTCAGTTAACTCATTTAGTGTTAGTGTTCAAATAGTAATGGCCAACATGAACACCACGCCGAAGGTCATTCTATTATCGTGGGCCGATGAGTGGTCAAACTATGATACCTTTCCATGCGTGTTTCATTGTGATGTCATAGACTGGAGAGATCCAAGAACTTCAATTTTGTCAAGACAATTACAGCATCATTTTGAAGAGGACAAGTAACTCTGCTCAACACTTAAAAGCACACCTTTCATTAACCGGCATAGGTCCATCCTCGTTTGTTGTTAAGAAGCGACGTTCCGCTGACCATGCAATAGGATCATGAAATTATTTTTTTATTAGGAGTGAAGTCGAGCGAAATTTCTTTTGATGATAACTCCGTTTGAGCCAACCGTTTCTTTATGGTTAAAACAGTATCGCCGAGTTCCACTCGTGCTCATTGCACATGGCAAAATGGGAGTGTGAGTTTCTAGGAAAATCGATTGTTATAACTGTCATAGTTAAAGGTAAGGTAGTGCCGAGTAATGCTGCTATCACATACATGTTATAAAAATTAGGTTTGCCTTCCGCCCTGCGGTGATCTGTCAATGTGTGCAGAACCCACTGAAAGGATAAAGTGCGGGCCTGTGTGTTTGCTGCCCAGTAACGGTCAAAAGTTTTCGGCGAAACGCTTTCCCAATGGTAATTTTTCTTCTAGAAAAGGGATTCTAGAAAAGTGGCTTCGTGCTAAGATTTCATCTCTGAGGCGATTTTTTCCTGATTGCGAGGATTGCGATATTTGCATTTTTTGTTTCCCATTTCTGTATGAAATTAGTGCTTGTACACTCAAGGCATGCATTGTGCGTGAGTATTAGGACAAAAGTCACTAAGAAATTTTAAAGGTAGCTGCAGACATGTAGTTATTGGACGCAGAAGTCGCGGTGATTTCAAGAGTTTTCGAGGTCAGCAGCACATCTTTCGGGGTCTTCGACTCCTATGCTATCAGGTCAGGAACTCTGCTTTCAATGCTTGAACGAGAAAACCTCGATGTATTTCATAAGCCCAGGACAACCGGATCATCCTTAGGTCGAGGGCTGAATCCCGCCTCACTGCGGCTGGCGTTGCCGCTGAGTTCAGCGCTAGCAATGGCACCATTCTTAGTCGGTGGGCAATGTCAAGCCGCCCGACCAACGCTGATATTAATGAGAGGCGTCCAGCCAGAAATCCCGTCATCAGACTAGAAAATAGGAGAGCTAGAGTAAAGTCTGCGTACCGTCACCTCAACTGAACTTCGACTGACTGGAGTAGAGTCATTTTTACAGACGAGAGCAAGTTTAATTAGATTAAAAGCGATGGTGTACGGCGCCTTCTCCTCGGACGGAATGGGTCATATTTCGAAAATTGACGGCACAATGACAGGGTATTACTACAAAAAGTCGTATGACCGCGGACAAAGTAGCACATACCAGCAGGATAACGATCCGATACACATCCCAATGGTTGTGAAGGCGACTTTCAGCGAACAGCGACACAGACTTCTAAGGTGGCCAAGCTAGTCATTGGACCTGAATCCTATAGAGCTTGTGTGGGAAGGGCTTGAAAGGCGTTGTTCGAACAAACTATGTAGGAACAGTGAGGAAAAATTCGCTCAATCAGCGAAGGGGTGGAACGCCATGCCAGTGTCTACCATCCAAAAATAATGGCATCTTTCATAGTCCACGATCGGTCGCGCGACCAGTCGCTAGCGACTGGCGATCGGTCGCGCGATCAGTCGCGCGACTAGTCGCCGGTCGCTAGCGACTGGACGCTCGACTGGTCACTTGACTGATCGCGCCACTGGTCGCTCGATCGGTTGAGGAGGCCGCGCTAGTTATGGGTGCCGCCGTGGACGGTCCCGCGCGATCAGTCAAGTGACCAGTCGAGCGACCAGTCGCTAGCGACTGGCGACCAGTCGCGCGATCGGTCGCGCGACCGGTCGCCGGTCGCTCGTGGACTATGAAAGATGCCAATGACCCGATGCCTCCCCTTGCGCTTCTGTCATTAAAAAGCTAGGCTTTCCTATCAAATACTGATGTTTTTGGTGTTTTACACGTTGTTATTTCGAAGTAAAACATTTTTCTATGCTTGGTACTATCTGTATTTTCCACTGAATTTGAGTTAATTCTCACTAACGTACCGTGAAAAATAGCGAATGATGGTTAAATAGCGGTTAGTTTTCAAAACATGTCTTTGATTAACATACTAAAATTTCATGTGATTTTACGGAGTAGGGAGAAAGTTACAATTTGAAAAGCGTTTCACTGAAGACTTACCGCTACTGTACATCGAGCCATTGCATTTCTAAATGGAAACCACATGCGTGCGCTCGTTGCATACCGAGTTTTGTCGGGAATTTTAGCCTTTTTCCCAAGCTCAACCAGCCAGTGCTGGCCTTGCTGAAACTACATGGGACGCTTGGTGAATTGCTTGGGAACCTGGTGTTGGCCATTTCTCATAGGAAGTGCAGACTACACGGGAAAATAAACTATTCTTGCGGATCTTCGAACTTATGAACAGTTGCATGATTGGCACTGCTCGGAACCGACGGGGTTCAGGAAGGGAGTTGAAGATTGGATCAGGCACATTCGATTCCTAGCATTTCCACTTGTGATAGGAATTTGATAAAGGATTGCGGATAACTGAAGACGCGTAGTGAATTTTATTCTGGAAAAAATGAAGCAATGAAATTTAGCATCACATTATGCATAGCCAGCCAACGAGATTCAATTCCTAAGTTGTGTGGGATCTGATGCCCAGGTTCACTACTTCATCTTCCTCCAAATGTGAGCTGGTTTACAATTCAGTTGTGTGGGCTGACGCGCTTCATTTTTTACTGATTTCGTTTCAAATCGTACACTCTATCTTGTAGTTTGATCTCCCTCGAGGAAATTCACGTTAGGGGACTATTGTTGCTAATTTTTCTCCTATAAAAATTTGAAGTTAATATCGCTGACTAACCTGTATTTCTTCAGGCTTCGCAACATTCCTCTGCTTTCGGATGCCGTCGGCTGTCAGGCCCTCATCATGTCTCATCGCGAATGAATGGTGATCATAAAAAAGAACATTGCTTACATCATGAGCAAATACCGTAAGTGACTTGTTTCTGTTCACAATTGTTATAGCAGCATGACTGGAAAAAACGCTTTCGCCTGCATCCTCTTCAAATATTTTTTATTTGGCTATTTATTAAGAGATCGTGGTAGGCAAGTACGGTAAAGGGCTCTAAAAATGATCATATGTATGTCGGTATGGAGGGAAGTAAAGCGGACATAGGTTCAAGACCTGGTTTTGCCATGTAGTTCAATTAATGAGGAAATGTAACCTACTATTCTGGCCAGCACGAGCACGACGATCAAGCCGGCCCATCGTAAGCACATAGATACAGCTGGAATCCTGAATAAGGATTTATCCAAAAAACGTTCGAAACCCATCACGGACTGAACAAATTCCAGTGCAAAACTTTCAGAAAATGAAGACTCGAAAAGAAAGATCAAAAAAGTCCATTGTTGTATGAAGGTCAAGAGACAAAAGTACCAGCTCAAGTGGTGAGGAAATGAGAGATTCAAGCTGAAAGCTCTTATAGCTGAGAAAATGTTGCGGACACAGCTCACGGTCGTCTGTAACAGTGTCCGTTAGTTTGAGCTCGATCTTACCGCCCTGCCCTTGCCCTGAAAACTCTAAAGAATGGTCAACTCAGTGCTGGTTCGATACTTCATATTGAAGCTTGCCTCGATTGGCTTACATCCAAACCAAGCCGTAATTGGAGAAGTAACATCAACCCTCCAAGAAAACAGATCCTCTCCTTACAGCGAAAAACACTGAAAAACAGAAGAAAAAAAAGGTGGAAGACTGTAAGTAAACAAGTATGGGTTCCCATGAGTTCCCCATGAACGTTTTCATTAACGAGAATGTTAAATTTCTATTTTCGCATGACGGTATGAATTCGAGGTTTTCTAGGATATGTAATAATTGTATCGTTCGCCTGAATGAGCAGCACGAGAGGGCAGCAATCCCTCATAGTTGATGTGCAAGCAATTTTTTTCTATTGTGATTATCTTACAGTTGAAAACGAGACAACGGACAGTGTTGTAGTTGCAGTAAAACGATATGAGACGATTAGGTTGTCTGCACCTTCTGAAATAGAAGTCAGGAAAATAACAAATGCATCATTAAAAGGCATGAGGATGGAGTCGAGCGTCCATTACGCTTTCTCGTTAGCAATTTCAGTCTTCCATTTTGCCGAGAGACTTTTTGAGATGCTCGTTTGCTTGTTACAGGGTGCAGAAAAAGAGCAATTTAATAGAAAACGCAGTAGTGCAATTTTTCACGAGCCTTGAACACGTATTTCTGAAACTCTTTTCGATTCTCGTCCAAGAGTGAATTTCGGTCTCTACTTCAGCATTTTCATGGGATTGGTGAATCGCGAATTGCCAGCAATTAGAAGCATCAGGTTAGATCAGATGACATGGGGGAAATGCTCTCAGCGACATGTAGATTAGGAATTTTGATCGATCCTTCTTTCAACGTTTCACGAAAAAGTACTTTTAGCAATAAAAAGCAATATTGGGAATACTATGGCAAAGATATGGAAAATTTGAAATGCCTTGTTGAAATTTCTGCATCAGGTTGAAGAGAACATCGACTGAACAGCAAAAACGAGATCAATACGAATTCCCTAACATACATAACCATAGTATAAAGGCAATCGAAGTTTTGAGAAATTTTCTACGAGTTGAAGCTCATGTTGGTGATGGGATTTGAAGCAACTGTGGTACATAACTCAAGAAATGAACGGGGAGGAACTTGCTCTGTGAGCACTTCTGAATGCTTTGCAGATGTGATACCTCATTACATTTGAAAAGTAGCATTAGTTTTGCAGGTGCTCATGAAATCAACAAAGGGTTTTGTTGGGGAGTCCATCTGGTAAGAGGTGACTATGATTAGTGCTATGTTGTCTGGTGGAAGTAGTTGGCGTTTGAGTAGTTATAGTTGTAAAAGTCATGAGTTTGATGTAAGAATGAAAAGCATCAAGAAGGTTTAGTTACAAATGAATCGTGCAAAGGAGAGTGGTGGAGTAGGTGGTTGGAGGTAGGCTCATGGACGACTTCTTGGCACTCAGTCGTGTGCAAGTAGATGTAGGAACAAAAAACGACGCTTTACAAAATGAAAATAAAATCACTACTTCTGAAAGGCGAGTTTTCGGAAGACGGTTGCGTAGAGGGAGCTATCAAACGGGCGCGTATGAATTTCACCTCAAGGCTGCCGCCGGTTTGTTCACGATTCGCTTCCGGCAGTTAAGCGTTCACGAGTTCGTAAAACGCTCTTTAGCTGTGGCGAAGTGGGCGGTCGTCGTGTTTCCCATCACTGGCGGAACTGGTCTCATTGCCGCTATAAAAATGACGGTAATCTTCTCGATACATCTATCCTTGAACGAAAAACTTTTTGAATGGGACTCTTGATGGAGCAGTGGTGGTGATCGTGGATAGGATAACAATTGTGTGCAGCGTTTATCGAAGACATCGGATTGTTATTCGAGTATTAGAGGAAAAATTCGTAGAATGTAACCAAGGTCAGTTTTCATCTTTAAGTGCGCAGTGATGCAGACAAAATCAACGCCGTCTGTGGAGCGAAAAGGGCGCGACTGTATTTCTAGAACAAACAGACGTTCTTTCTTCTCGAATGATATAGTTCAACGAAGCCATAACCAATCTTTTGACTTGCAATTATATTATAAAAGGCGAAGGCTAGTAGTAAGAAGGTTCGTTGCTTGCACACACATGGTTCGTGTATCAGATCTCGGATCGAAAATCACTCAAGTCTTTCGTTTGCCTTGGTTGGCGACCTAGCTGGTACCAAAGATTACGGGAATGTTTCACGCTGTGTTTTTCTTCGATGGCTAATCACTGAATTTGTCGATGATGATAGAAAAATTGAACTGGTCACTACGTAGAATGTTAAACAGGTCCGCTATGCTATTTAGAGTATGGACATGAGCATACTACTAATCCCCGCTTCTCGCCACTAGAGCTGATGAATGTCTGAACGGTGAACTGATGAATGAATGACTAGATCTTTGTCTTCACTATACGCATTCCTCTTTTTCTTCTCGCTAACGTCAATCCCACGATGTAGCGGAGCCCGCTGTTCTTCTCAGTCGTCCACCTTTGTTCCAGTTGCGACATCTTCTTCCATTACCTTAGTTTTGGAAAGGTCTATCTTGATCGTGCCCTTCTTCACTTTGGGGTTTCTCGCTGTCGCTTTCCTTGAGCCCCTTAATTGTGCAGGCATAGCCAAAAGGCTGAAAGCGAATGCTCACAAGTGGACTCAGGAAGTTCTATTCCTGACGAATCAAAAGCCCGCTTTGCGAGAATTCCAGAATCGTTGTACCAGCATCAGGCCTCAGATTGACAGGCCGGTTGTTGGTGAAACTCGCAAAAATCATGTCTAAAGTTGCACAAGGATTGGTGACAAAGCGGGCAACAAAAGTTTCGAATGAACTTTTCCCCTTTTCTCCATTCCAACAGAATCTCGATTTTGCTTGCTGAAACTTCCACATTGTAAAATAGAAATGCCTTGGGGAGCGCTCCAGCACCGATTACTCATAAATTGTAAAACTGAAATGTTTTATGAGCGACAAAGTGTGCGAAAAGATCACGCGCATGAGATTAACGTCGTTTCCAACCGAGTTTCTTTTGTGTGGCTATCAATGCAAATTCGTAGTCACGATGAGCAAACGAGTAGAGTCCTGGCTTCGACCCGGTATTGCTGTAGGAATTTCTATTCCATAGTGACTGACAAACGACAGACAAAATGAATTCGATGATACTGTTTAGATGCAATTCTATCATGGTAACCCCAGAACCTCAAGTCCTTTCATTATTGGATATCTAGTTCTTTTCTGAAGTATCATGCTGATGAGATTTATTCAATGAAAAAGGAGAGAAGAGCGCGAGTCATTGACATGCGAGACTTACAATATTTGAAAATTTTGTTGGTTTACTTGAAAGGCATATCCAAACAGGAGAACTTGAGCAACGACTGATGCACTGAACTGACTGAGCATGTTCCCCCACTTCCGAACTTTTTCTGCTTTTCGTCCGGTATTTCATGCGTCTTGAGAGAGTAAAAGTGCAAGGCTAAGCCCATCTTCCGAACGATCGTCCTTGAATGGGGAGGCGCAATCGGAGATCACGTGTGTTGTCTCATCAGGAAAAGCATAAAATATGCATAGCATGTCGCGTCTTTGATCACGACATCTAAAGAGATATGTAGGTATTAGTCTTCAAGTGTCATTGCCGGTAGGTATCAGTCTACAAATGCCACCGCCGTGTTCTCCTGTCAGTTTTCTCCACTTACTCTTTCAAAGACGTAGGGCCTCTGACACGTCTTTGGCCAGTATACAAGCGGTCATTCATTTTTTGGCGTTCCGATGACAAGCCCATGTGCAGGCCCATTCCAGGCATCTATCGATTAAGTTGCCTTCATAGCATGGTTTACTTTCCGGGTACTGGTCAGTACGCCCGTCAATGACGCGCCCCCAAAAGAAGAAGGGTTTTTACGAAACAGACATCCACTAAATAACCTAGTAGAACAAACACAATGGTAAGCGATTCGTAATGACTCCAATCAACAAAGGGAAAGAGTTTAGTCAGGACGTAAGCAAAATTTCATGTTAGAATCAAGAATATCTAATTTTGAAGTATTGAAACAAATAGAAGCCATATTGTCGAAATAGGGTTAATTAAGATGGAGCTTCAATCCCAGAAGTGCCCTGACATTACCCTTTCTTTCTTGCCTACATAGTGAGCGTGTCTGTCATTTACGAGCTCTCTGAAACTTCAGCAATCCATGAAGAATCAAAAGTATTCCGTCGCGCAAACTATTTATGATTCTCTTCAATCGGAAACAAAACATAATACTATCGCCCAGCATTTCGAAACCAGTTATGCGTTTTTAGTTATGAATTGGGAGAACTTAAGACGTA